TTTTTTAAAAAATGGTCAAATTCCACCGTTCCTTCAAATTATTGAATCATGCACGGTTGATCCTTCAACATTGAAAATTTTACGAATAGTCTTTCAAGTTATGTTAGCGATGTATGACTAGTCCTTCAACTTTGAAAATTTCACAAATAGTCCTTCAAGTTTCATGATTGATCCTTTCGTTAATTGCATTTTTTTATTTTCCATTTTAAATACATGCATGGAACTCTTCATATAATTGAACCATATTTAATAGGTCCATTTTTTAATAATAATAGTTATTCTTACTTTTATTACTCTAGTTTTTGAAATAAAATAAGTTATTTTTGCTTTTATTAGTTTAATTTTTTAAAAAAAGTATTTATCAAATTTTGATGTTTTACTAACCAAGTTGAATTTTTTTACCAATAATTCAATTAGAAAAATGAATCTACAAAAAATATGATTCAATTGTATGAAAAAAGAAGATTCCTCACGTTTATTTATAATGAAAAACAAAAAATGTATGAATTAAAAATAAAATAAACGAATGGACCAATCATGCAATGTTAATGTTACTTGAACGACGATTCATGGAATTTTCAAATTTGAAGGACCAAGCATGAAACTCGACTTGAAAGACTATCCGTGAACTTTTTAAAGTTGAAGAACGAACCGTACATAATGCAATAACTTGAAAGATCAAATAAAAGTTTTCGTGATTTGTAAATACTCCGTAGTAAAGTGTGCAATCTTTTTGGGACGGAAAGAGTTTCAAGTATATTAACGAAGTATAAAATTAGTATATACACAGTCGCAAGTTACTACCTTCTTTTTTTGAGTATTAATACAAAAATAATTTATTCTTTTTATAAAATATTGAGTAAATTCCATAATTGGTCCATTATAACAGGGAGGTTTCCATAGTTAGTCCTCTATTATCAAATATTATCCTTGTAGTCCTTTTTTAAGGGTGCCTTTCGACAAATGATCCTTTTTTTGATCTTCTTCCATGTTGGTGTTAATTTAAAGGCTAATAGTATAATTTGACATCAACATTATGTCTAGCGACGTGTTCTGATATTAGTTAAGCGGATAACACAAAAATAATAACTATGATTGTGGGCTAGGATTCCGACGAAAGACCACATTTGTAGACTATGATTGTAGTATAAAGCGACTGTAATTCACAAACGACGCAAACAGAACAGTCTTTGAAATTGTGTATGACAAAAAAGATATATTATCATTTTTAAATTACACTTTTAGCCTTCAAATTAACACCAACATAATAGAAGATCAAAAAAAGGACTATTTGTGGAAAGATACCCATAGAAGGACCACTGAGGTAATATTTGATAATTGAGAACTAAATAGGGAAACCCCCCTGTTATAAAGGACCAATTATGGAGTTTACTCTAAAATATTATAAAAAATATTATTTTATCTAATAATGGACTATATAATTTTTATTCATGAAGGATGTTGTTTTTTTGTTGTTAATTTGCACTTGTCCCTTAAATTTGTGGTACTTTTGAAAGTAAACAATTAAATTTGAAGAGATGAAGTGTACTTTATGTTCCCTTACACATATTCGACCTTACCAATACATAGAAGAATATGTATGCGGGAAGGAAATGCGAATTTGAAGGGGGGGAAAAGGGTTAATTTGACATTTTCTTCAGTAAGGAAGGATGAATTAAAACCCAAACTTAAAGGGGTCACCTGACAGCTAGTAGCTAATAAGCCTTCTTTATTCTCCCTTTCACAGGTGGAGATATGTGAGTGCCATCAAATCCGATAAAAGGAGTGTAATGTGCCGTTGTTGTCCACCAAGTTTGGTGTCATGTTTTCTATTGTGCTAGTTGGATTTGTGGTGTGTGTGAAGCCATGTCTATTAATGATTTTATCTTGGTGCATTTGTTCAGTTTGACTTTTTTTTGAGTCCAACTAGATGAATTTGGTGAAGCCATGTCTATTAATGATTTTATCTTGGTGCATTTGTTCAGTTTGACTTTTTTGAGTCCAACTAGATGAATTTGATATCGCATTTAAATAAAAATTGTAATGTATATAAATATATAAACATGATTTCATTTGATTTATTTTATTGAGAATTGTCAAAATTTTATTTTATTGTATTAATACATAATACTATCTCTGTCCCATAAAACATTACTCATTTTGATGTATTTTTGGTCAAATAGTTATACGTTTTGACCATAAATTAAATATAATCTAAATAAAGAAATATTATAAAAATTTGATATATCAAAACTAAATCCTAAGATAAATCTAATTATATTAAATTTATATTATAATATAATATACTTTTTCTCACAATGTGTAGTCAAATTGTGTAACTATTTGATCAAATATTATTCAAAATGGTAATATTTTATGGGACAGAGGGAGTATAACTAAAGAGTAGTTATTGGACGTATATATTAAGAGGATGGGAGTATTGCTCCTAAAGTTTTAAACTTCGTGCTAACTCTAAATGGGTGGTGATGAGTGATGAATTGAGTTATTAAGAATGTTGAATAGTTTTTGCATAATTTTTGCGGAAGCACAAAGGCAAGAATAAATTAAAGTGTGAAAAGTGAAAGACAAAGAGAGAACATAAGAATTTTAATTATACCGCACTCCTATTAATTTAATCCTCTAATAACATGAATCCCACAATATATCTTTCTTGTTATAGTCAATGCCCCAAGTCGATGTTGATATTTCATTTTGTCAATTGAGGTGACTTTTTTACTGCAATCATGGTTTCCAAATGTCGCCCCTGATTGATATCATAGTCCACGGTCGTAGTCATTATTGTGTTGTTCGTTAAACTAATATTAGAATACGTTACTGAACATAGGATCGAGGTGAAACTATATTTTTAGTCTTCAATTTAACGCTAACATGTCAGAAGGTCAGGGAAAAACTATGAAAAAAACACTTAATTATAAAATTTACACTAAAACATACCATCAAGGTTATGTGTTCATGTTAAATCATTACACCAATTATAGAGTAGTAACTATAACGATAATTCTGAGACGAAGAGAGTACTAATGTACAACATACATATTTATTAAACTTTTTTGAATTAAACAGTGGACAAAAATACTCTAGTAAAGTTCAATATATTTTAACAAAATACTATACTTATATGTATATTGTATATTGGTATTCTAGCAAAATATTCTAGTAAAGTTCAATATATTTTAACAAAATACTATACTTTTATGTAAGGCAAAAAGCATAGTATTTTTGTCCAACAAAGATATTCTTCCTCTGTCTCAAAAAGTCCTTTATTTATTTTTGTGTCCCATAAAATCTTCTTTTTCTATTAAAAACCTACTTTTATCCTATTAATTCTTACATTAATTATCACATCATACATTTTTAATTATAATTTGTTCATCACATTCTACTTTTACCTATCACATCAAAAATATTTTTGAAAAGTCAAGACAAAAATAACGGAAATAGTTTATAATATTGATGGGTTTCATAACTCAGGCCTAGAAGACTAGGTAAGAGAGTATCGAACAAGGGTTGAGTGCATTTGGTTGCAAGAAGGTAGAGTAAGTATATTTACTTAGTAGTGAACGTATCCCCTTTTCCGAAGTGGGATAGGTATTTATACAATACATTTGTCCTATATGTATGTTCCCTAGGCGTTGTTTAGGATAGGACCCAGTGGGCTGGGGTCCACTGGAATCGGATCTTAGAATAATAATACAAGTGGGGTGATTACAAATTATATAATTACAAATGATGCACACGCGAACAATATGAGAGATGTCCTTGAGTGAGCCTGTAGAGTAGACAGAGAGTACAGGATCCAATGCTAATAATGGGGCTGATTGTTGCTTCTCGGTTAGCAAAGGTCGAGCGTTGCTTTGAGTGAAGGGATGTCAAGATCTGGCCGAGTGTGGCTGACTCTGCCCTGGGATCCGAGTGCGTACTACTGGGCTGAGTATGGATGCGTGTCCGAGTGTGGTTACTGTCTTGAGGGCTTGATTTCCTCAAAGTCTTGCTTTTGGCCGAGCGCGTCCAGTTCCTTGTAACTAGACGGGCCTTGTATTGGGCCGGCCCTATTTCTATTGGGCTAGACATCCCCCGATCCAGGCTATCCATCAAATATTATGTCCAGTTTCTTAGTTCATATTGTTGTTATCTAATTGCCCATACTTTGTATTTCTAAAAAATAGTCATTTCTAATAAAGTGTTTTTCAAAATTAGTCCTTAAGTAATACTCCCTTCGTCCTAAAATTTTCTTCCCGTTGCACAAGTGGTGACAAGAATATTTTATTTTATCATATAGGCCATGAAAAAACACAAATAAATATAAATTCCCGTGAAGTTGGAATAGTGCTCTCGGAAGAAAGTTTTAGGACGGAGGGAGTAATTATCTGTGCAATCCTTTATAAATTAGATTTATTCTCTAAATAGTCCTTACCGAAAATGTCTATTAAATATCAGTCAAATAGAATATATTTTGGTATTTTCTATTACCTAAATTTAACATACGTTCTCGAAATACTCTTTTGTAATTTTAAGTATTTTTTCAATTTGATAACTTCTAAGTAAATATTTTCTTGAAATGAATTCATGAGCCTACTCGGGGTGGGTACAATTTTCTAGCAGCCACCAACTTAATTTGATAGGCCCATTTAGAAGACTTAGTCCATGTTCTTCCCAACTTATTTTTTTTACTTCCTACTTATTCTTATTGAAATCAGATCAAAAATAGTTTTAAATATAACTACATTTAGATCAGACCAAATCAGATCAGAACTTATTTCAATAAGATCAGAACCAATCAGATCAGGTAAAGAGAACATGGCTTTATTCATAATTTAGATGATGGAAAATACTAGAATATCATTTATTTTACTACTCCGTATCATTTAGTAGACATTTTTTACAAAAGACAATTTATAAAATATATCTTAATTACAAAAGACTACATTGATAATTATTGTTTATTAAGAACAAATTTAGAAAAATACTTTATTAAAAAAGACCATTTTGGTAATTTACTCAAAAGAAAGCAGAGGAACTGAGGAAGTGTATCAAAGCCACCCAAGCTTATCAATCTATATGCATTGCTTTATTCATTCACAACATTTGAACCCAAAACCACACACTAGTTTAAACAAGAGAAACCATAGAAAATGGTCATTCCAAGAGACGAAGCAGTTAACAGAATTACAACACAACACTTCAGCAGTTACCATAAGTGACAGCACACATAAAAGTCTCCCAAGTTTATCATAGTTTTCATACTAATATACTACTACTACTACTACTACACAAAAGCCTTTCAGCTTCACCATATATTTCAATACACTCCCAAGTTTGTTTTAACCACGAGTCATGGAGTAGCAGATAACTATTGCAGATAATTTACACAGAAAGGAATCATGCAGCTTCAGCAAAACCCAGCTGCAGATTGCCGTAGTCGAACACGGTGTGATACACTCCCATGAATACATCTCCAAGAATCCTGCAACAACAACACACATATTTTTTCTTATTATCATCCTAAGCTTTCGAGCAACTTGACAGAGCAAATGATGTATAGTCATGCATGCGAATCTATATATGCACGCTGTGTGAAAATGTTGTTTGGATATCACTTACCAAAGAGGACCGCGAGGTGGGGGCACATCCAAAGCAATGAACCCACTGACGCAAATGGTAGCAATCCCTTCTCCTGTTTTAAGGATGTACTGCAGGCAGATGAGGAAAGGAAGTTAAGAGATGATATTCGGGCTGCAGGATTTTGGGGGTATGAATAATCAAACCAAACAAACCCTCCCACTTAAGAGCTTGGACCCCATAGCATTATGGGCAGTTTGCCAAATTACACATGGTTATTTTGAGGACTATTATCACATGTTTGATCAGCTGATTATGGGTGTCATGAAAGTGGGGTTAAAGAAATTTTACTTAGAATGCACCATAGCATTAAGGGCAGTTTGCTGAATTGCCCATGGTTATTTTGAGGACTACTATCACATGTTTGATCAGGGGATTAGAGGTGTCATGAAAGTGGGGTTAAGGAAATTTTACTTAAAATGCCGATTGGGTAGGAAGTGTGAGCAATTGTCACTTCCAAATCTGGTAAGAGCACAATCACACTATTATCATATACTTACGTAAGAGACATTCTTTTCCTTCTTTCTTTTATGCATACATTTTGTTTCATTTAAAATGCATTCTCAAGATATATTAAAAGAAAATTCCCTAACTGAACTGTAGAGTATTTCTCCCAGTGAAAAATCCAACAAACCATGAGATTGAGATACGAATATAAACCTAATGCAGAATCTCCATTATATTCCTGATGCGTGTTTCATTTTAATTTAAAATGTTAAATTTTTTGGCCACAAAAATGCATAAAAAATTAGGGGAAAGGGTTTACCTGCTCAGGGGTAAGGACAAAATCTTTGTCAGCAATTTTGAGTGTAACATTTGGCATGTTTGATATACTGTTGCAATCAATTGTTGATTCCCCCATTGGACTAGGAATTTTCTCACATAGCTGCCAGACATGAAAAAATATTTTTACACAAGAACAATGATTTTCATATGTGCTGCTTCGTCTAATCGCATGTAAATTAAGAAATGCTCACCTGATTCACATATTCAAAAACTTTCTCCTTCACCACCTTTTGCTTTAGCTGGTTCTGCATCCAAACAACAGCCATTTCACAGGCTGTGCACAATGGGTCATTGGAGGATTTTTCCTCATTATCCTTGTCAACCACCATTTGGATATTAGAACTGCAAGGAATCAAGTTTATGCATCAATAATGCTGAGTGTTTTAATAATAATACCACCACTGTTTAAACCCTACTTGAGACAGAACTAAAAGACACTCAATAGATCAAAATTTACAATTTTCTAATGCACTAGTCTACCTTATTTAGGTAAAACTAAACATTCTCCCTACACCCCATAAAGATAGGCTTGTATGTTATGTACATGAGAGTCAAGAAATGGTCTTCAAGTTAGCTACAACTTTTAATTTTATATGCAATTCTCTTTTTTTACCCTTTTGCAGAGTTAATGAATGTAATCTTGCAAATTTTGAAATGAAATGTTATTAATTAAAGGTAACCTTGGAAAGAGAAAACTGAATTCAATGTAGAATTGGATTATCTTTGAGGAAAGGACAAAAATGGAACACTGTCCAACCTATGTGGGATGGAGGGATAAAGAAGGTAATTGATGAGCATTGAGATGCTACAAGGCTAGTGAGTGGTGCTAGTAAGCCGCGCTCGATAACGGAAGAAAATATAAGAACCAAAGAGGCAAAGACCAACTAATGCAATAGTATCTGTAATGGAATTTATTTAGCATTGAAAGAACACATCTTTATACGGAAGCATGATGGGCCTTGATAATTGCGACAGGGCTAAGCTAGGTTTATTAAACTTAAATGGTCAACCCTCCTCAAGCTTGAACATCTATATGCTCTAATCATGGACTAATTATAAATATAAACAATTCAGCTTATATGAAATTGCAAGGAACAAGCATATAGCGCACAACAATTCCAGATTAGCTTCAGAACAAATGACCATATGCACGACCCCTGGGTGTTATACCCGAGACCCGGGGTATAATCAAGTTGCTATTTGAAGATGGAATTATGGGATGGTGAAGAGGAAATGAGGGAGACAAAATATGGGGGTGGAACAAAGAGTTGTTTTTTTGGGTTTTTGATGAAAGAAAAGAATAAGTTCAAGAAGAAGAAATGGAGAGATATGAAATGGGAAGAGGTAAAATGAAGGGATAAACCAAGTTGGTGTTTAAGAGATATTACACACTCTTATCTTAACTTGGGGTTAAGTCTAGAACTTAATTAAGATATAACACACTTAATTAAATATCTAGAACCTAAAACTCACACTTAAGATAACCACTCTTAAGATATAGATTTAGGAATTTAAATAGCAAACACAACAAGTGTATTACAAAATGGAAAATGGAATTACAATATGAGTCTCACAAAAGGGCCTAAGGCCGAAATAAATACACACACATAGGGGGGGAACTTCCCTGAAACATCCACTCACAAATCACAAGAATAATATCCATTTGTTTATGTTTTCTTAATGGAATGAAATCAGGGATTTGGTCTTTGATTTTCATGGCTGGTGGCTTGTCCTTTAGTGAGGAAAATCACAAGGAAATAAGTGATGATTCTTGGGAAATAATGGGGGACAAAGGGGTTGGTTTTATTGGCCTTATATTGGGTCATTCATGGAAGGTATGTGGGGACTGATTTGGTGGGTGGAGTGTCAATAAACTCACAAAAGTCTTTTGTCCTTTTGTTATTGTTTATTCAGCCTAGGTGGGAGACACAAGGGGGACAATGGTTGGTCAATGTTGGGGAATAAAAGAG